GCATTATTACTAATCAAGCTACAATCTGTGGTTGATAGCAATGAAGTGCCAATAGAAACAAGTGCCATGGGGTCTCCCGTGGTTGCTGCACTTGACTTTTATGGCAGTAATGGTGACTACAAGGACTATGATTTGGGATTGATTTTTTTTTTGATACACTTGAGTAGTTACAAAAATAAAATGACAGCATCAGGTCCCTTACCTTTTAGCTTAAGTCACTATCTGAGAACTACAGGATTGAAAGAATCTCCTTTTTCTTGTTGCCGAAGGACTAATACTTCTGAAAATGAAATGCAACCATTTCATTGTGTGGATTGCTGAATTATGACAGTGAAATTTACTGTTACATCAGGTTTCTCATGTGAAATTTAGGACGCTGATGAGGAAAGAATGGAATCGTAAAACTTAGAATGGGGACATCTGGTTGGACCCAGATAAAACTTAGAACCGGGGATTCCTGTGCTATTTTGAGCCTCCCTTACCATGGGACTTAAATTCCTGTCTGCTGTCTGAGGAGATAGCCTACCTTGCTTAAAAATTCTGTGATAACCTCACCTAAGGCAGAAGACTTGCAAATGGATGCTCATCCCCCTCAAGACACACTACAACCACACTCTGTTGGCACTGGACTCATAACGAGGGTCAAATCTTACCATGTTCCAAGAAGCCAGGACACACTATAACCCAGTAGAAAATAGCTTACATACTAAAGGCATTGCAAGACTTTGCTATTGCATATGAAAAGAAACTCAGGGAACATGTGCAGGAGTGAATTCTCCTAAGACCAAGTGGCAGCGCTTAGCCAAAAAAAAGGTGGGAATGTTTGTCATAAAGGACGGTAGAGATGTACCAGTAATCAAAATGCTTTGACCCTCAAGAATATTTGGCAGTGGGCTAAGTGTTCATGGTGTCTCAAGAAATTAAATACGTAATCTACTAGAGTGGTTTTCAGCTTGTATAATGAACTATAGATATTGAGCCAAAACATGACTGGAGTCACCACATTGAAGAGCCATGGCCTAACCCTGGGTTTCCAGATCTTAGTCAAGTCACAGACCCAGAGCCCCTTAATTGAAGGAGAGGGCAAATAACCTTGAGGAAGAACCTCGTGCCACTGTTGCAAAGACTTACTATATACATAATCCTGTGGCCATGTATTAGAGAGAGAATGCACTGGGGAATAGGAAATAATCAGACCTTTGGGGAATTATTAGATAATATATATGAATTAATTATTATACCTGGGGACCCAAAATACCATATGGCCTGACAGTTAAAGTGGGAATTACAGTGATCAAATAATAGATGGAATCTTACTTCTAATATGACTTATGGTGGGCTCAGTTTGTCCCCACATGGACTCTCTGACCAAAGGAGGAAGGTCATTATGGGTCATTATGGGAGGACTGACTAAGTGAAAGCCCCTCACTCTCAAGATAGATAGTCAACTGAAGCTCATTCCTTGAGAAATTGCAGAGATTAATTCCTGTATCAAAAATTTAAAAATAGCTGTGGTGCTGACACTTATCACATTCCCATATAGGAGTTAGGCTTGTGATAAAGTCAGATAGATACTGGAGAATGACCAGAGACAACTGTAAACTTAATCAGATGGTGGCTCCAATTGCTGCTGATATTCCAGATATAGTAACTTTCTTTACTGGAACAAATCAACATGACCTCTGGCACTTGGTATGCAGCTATTGACCTGACCAATGCCTTTTTCTCCATACCAGTCTGTGAGGAATGCAAAATGAACTTTGCTTTTACCTCGCAGGGCAAGCATTATACACTTACAATCCTGCATCAGTGGTCCACCAGTTCATCTCTAAGCCTGCAGAGATCTTGATTGTCCTATTCCACAAAACATCTCACTGGTCCACTATTTATCAATGACATGTTCATCAGATCTGATGAAGAGGAATTAGCAAGTTCTCTAGATACTTTAGTAAGACATATGCAAAATAAAGGGTATGAAATAAATCCCACAAAATATAAGTCCCTGAAACCACAGTGAAGTTTCTGGTGGTTCGCTGGCATGCAGCATGTCAAGATGAAAGAAGAGTTGCTTCACCTCATGTTAACTACCATGGAAAATAGGCATAATGCTTGGTAGGACTTTTTGGATTTGGAAGGCAACTTATAGCACAGTTGAGTGTGCTACTTCAACCCATCCTTGTAGTCAGCTGTAATGCTGCCAGTTTCAAGTTTAGGCTGCAGTACAAGCCAAGCCACCACCTGGATCCTTATAATCCAACAGATCCAATGATACTTGAAGTGACCATGACAAATAAGGATGTTGTGTGTATCTTCCTGCAAGTGCCAAGAGGAGAATAACAACAGATATTTCTAAGATAGAGGAGCAAATCTATGCTATCTTCTAAAGCTTTTCTCATTTTGAAAAACAGCTTCTGACTTGCTGTTAGGCCTTGGTAGAAACTGATGCCTAAATGTGGTATAACAAATGGCCACAGGGTCTGAGCTTATCCTCATAAACTTGAGTATTTTCTGACCTTCCTATTCATAGGGGTGAGTGTCTGCAGCAACAGTCTACCATGAAATTAAAATGGCATGTGAAAGACTGAGCTCAGGCAGGTCTTAAAATTAGGAGTAAGCAAGTTGCTCAGACTCCTTCAGCATCAGTTCCATTGCATTGCCTCCTCTACTTCAATCAATGCCTATGGCCTCCAAGGGCATATCCTATATGCAAGTGACTGGAGGAAGAAGAATCTCAAGTCAGATGGGTTTGCATTACATGATGGCACCAACTAAAAGAAAACAGCTGCATCCCTGAAGGCTCACTTAGGCATGACTCCCAATGGCAGTGCTGAAAGAAATCCTCTCTGGGCAGGACTTTGAGTAACACGTTTGGTTTCTCACTATACTACCTCTGGAGTGAGAGGTGGGCACAAGTGCGGAGATGCACATTAACTCTTGGACAGTTGTTAATTTTGGCTGGATGGTCAGCGATTGAGAAGGAACAGGATTGGTAAGTAGGTAACAAGAGGTTTAACACATTGGCTGCCACACTAGAAAAAAATATTTTTTTCCTCAGGCCACAGTATTTTATTATGAAAATAGAATAAAACTTCAAAAACAAAACGATCTTTTCTAATTTAGTGAACATTTTTTTTTTTATTTTTGTCTGTGCGTGAGTTATATGCAACTTGAAAAATAGTTCTTGCAGCTCCCAAGGTGAAGAGACATGTGAGTTACATATCCTTCAGAGGCCCCGGGCTGAAAACTAGCGTGAGTTAAATACAACTCACATAGCATGGCAGTTAATGTGTTAGGGAAGAGCTATATGGATGGGCTTCTCATAATGGAACAGACTGAAGATATTTATGTTTCATGTGAATACTCAGCATAGAGCATGCACTGCAGAAGAGGCTCTTAAAAATAATGTGGATAAAATAGCATGCTTTAATGGTATTGGTTAGCCTTTTTCCAGTCATACTAGTTCATGTTCAATGGGACAAGAACAAAGTGGCCATAGTAGCAAAGGCAGAGGCACTCAAGAACATAGATTTCCCCTTACCAAGACTAACCTGGTTAAACCACTGCCTAATTAGCCAACAGCAAAGACTACAATAGAGCTGCCAATATGACATCATCCCCCAGGGTGACCAGCTAGTCATGTGGTGGCAGGTTGATGACATTTGATCTGTTATATTATGGAAGGAACAAAGATTCATCTTCCCTGGAATAGACTTATATTCCAGAATTGCTTTCTTCTACCCATAATGGCTCTGTTAGCATCATCATCCATAGACTCACAGAATGCCTTATCTGCTGTCATTGAATTATGCATAGCATTGCATCAAGTGAAGGAAATCATTTCCCAGCAAAGTAAGGGCAGCAATGTGCTTATGTCTATGACATTAACTTGTTTTATTAATACTAAATGTCATGTCACCTGGAAGCAGCTGAACTGACTGAATATTGTGTTGCTTATGGACAACTCAAATACTGCACAGTTGGGAAACACCCTGAAATTATGGTATTTTGTTCATAGGGAACATTATCTACTTCAAATCACAGGCCACTATATGGTACTCTCCGCCATAGCCAGAATACATGGCTCCAGGAATCAACGTGTAAGAATGCCTCTTCTCACTATTATACTTAATAACCACTTCACAGAATTTTTTTCTCTGTGAGTTTGGAGGTCTCTGCACCTAAAGAGGAAATACTTCCGCTGGGGGACACAGTGATATTTCCATTCAGTTGGAAGATGAGACTTTCACCTGGCCACATTGGGCTCCTTTTGCTACTTGAACAAACAAAAAAGGAGCTACTCTACTTGGTGTAATTACTGATCCAGAATACCAAGAGGAAATTGAGTTACTGCTACACATTTAGGTCAAGGAGGATTTTGTTGGAAACCCAGTGGAGTCTCTGCTCTCTGGAGTGTCTCTTAGTACTTCCATATTTGATAAGATAAGTTAATGAAAACTACAGCAACAACAAAAAAAGGCTGGTTAATTAAAAACCCAGATACTTTAGGAATTAATATTTGGATTACTGTACCAGGTAAATAACCCAAACCAACTGAAATTCTGGCTGAGAATGGGGGAAATACAGAATTTCTATTAAAATAAGAAATAATTAAATATCAACTAAAGCCTTATAGCCAACTACAGGAATAAGAACTGCAGTACTTTGTGTGTTTTCTCTTTGCTTGTTATATGTATTTACTTGTATGCCGCCTGATTTCTTCTCCCTTCTTTGCTGACTTTTTATTTTATATGCAAGCTATTGTGGGTTAACTTTAAATTTAACTCTTTAGGTAGCAGAACATTCAGTGGGCTGGTAATGGAATTCTGGAGACATTAATAGAGCTAGTGATAGATACAATGACTGTTAGAACTATATATCTCCTTACTTTTGGGAAAGGGTGAGAAGTCTTCACTTGCAAGAAGGATAGCTGTATCTCATTAGGGTGGAAACACAAAGTTATTTAATTGTCGTATGGAAGTTCAAATATGTGTAGAGGGTGAATGTAGACTCTGAGTTTTCAAAGGGGTGGACTGTGACATTAATCAATCATTGCTTCTTGTGTCCAAATCTATCAGGCATCTCCTTGCTCTGTGACAATACAGCTGGACGCTTTAATCATTGCTCCTTCGCAGCAAGCATGATGTTAAGCTCTATCAGTAGATGTGCTGGAGGGATATTGCAGGACAAAGGAGCTTCTTGTCTTGGTTCTAGGGTGCTGTTATGTTATGTTTTTCTTGCTCCTACCACATGGATTCCATAAGTGGACACAGGAAAAATCCAATGGTGCTTCACTTCAGCTGCTTGTCCAGAACATGCAGTTCCTTGTGAGTTTACATCCCTTCCCCTGACCCAGTGACCACCTCATTATGGCCCTCTCCACAGACCCTGTACACCCCAGGTCTCACACCACCTCTCTGGAAAGTAGTTTCTCAATATCCTGAGTCAGGAAATTGCATGTTGCTTAGGTAAATGACTATCCTCTGGGCCCCTCTGGGGAATTTATCTGGCTGGTGAGTATTGCAGTTTTACATAGTAAATCCACTCTAGCATGTTCTTTTCTTTGAGCCTTTTGCTCACTAATTCTATGATCATATGGCCATAACAGTTCTGGAATTCCTACCTTTCATAGTGTATGCCATTACTTTTTCCAAGCTTTCAAGAGCCATTCTAGCAGCATGTTAGCACTATTTCCTAAGGGCCTTGCTAGGGTGGTAAGCCCTATATTATGGGAGTGTGCAATAATATCAATAAACTCCCTTATCCTACTCTATAGTCCATCCCCCTTGATCTAGAACACTCAAGATCTAGTTCCATACACTTTTTCCAGTTCCTTCCAGAGGGTAAACCTTCCAGAGGTTCCTTCCTTCTAAATTCTACAACCCCTTCAATATATAGTCCTATCAATATATAGTCCCCTAAGCAGGCCCAGCATATGCCTAGTGGGCTGTGCCAAGATCTGACCCTTTTTATTAGTCTGGTTTCCAGGATGTCATAAGTGAACTTTATCTTCTAAGTCACCTGCCTCATCTGAGTCCTATGTATTATCTTTATGTAAAGAAGAGGCCACTATCTTCTAGCAGGTGTGAGTGTGCTGCTTCTGTGTGCTCAGTGCACTCAGGAGAGTCTAGCAATTCAAGGTTCTCAAATACATCTACCCAGATATCCCTGTCCCAAGTCTCAAAGTCCCACTCATTCACTATTAGACTTCTCTTACGTTCTATGAAGTGGATCTAAAGCCTGAGCCTGATTTTTGGTCTAATCCTCCAACCACAGGAGATCCTCGAATGCTGCCCAGGAGTCCTCTTCAGCCTTTACATTGTGTCTTGAATTAATGACTTGTCACCCTGAGCCTGATATTCTATCTCTTTAATTAATCACTGGTACTCAGCGTCAACCACCCAATTCCGTGGTTCTTCTGGGTATCATTTCCTTCCTATGCCTCCAGCACCATAAATATTCCATCAGTCAGCTCATTTTCTTCCACCAAAATGCTATTCTGGTTAACCACCAGGGAGAGTTTTAACAACTGCACTGCCACAGCAGGGGCTGTTCATTGTCCACTGTATCCCCGCTGGTGATGGGGTCCCATTGCCAGACAGCCAGTGAATCATCGATCTGCAAAAGCCCACTTAGCAGCTGCTTCCTAGCACCACTTCTGATAGTTAGATTGGGTTCTCTGGCAACACACACTCAAATGGATAGTTGGGCACAGGGAGTGGAGGGGTGGGCTTTCAAGAGATAGAACTTTAAGGAAGTTAGGAAGGCAGGATTGGACAGAAAGAAAAGCTGATTTACAACTGAGGCCTCAGGGGATCTTACTGAGAGTTTTGGAGCTGGAATGTCCTTCATGGTGTCCCAAATTGAGTCCTACAGGGGCTGGACCTTTGTCTCCATATTTTAGCATATTGTTGGCTGCGAGCATAACTTTGGTCAATATGGATCCCAGAGACTGAGGGCAAGTCCAGTGTAGAATGCAGCTGTGAGCCCTCAATAGCAGACAGTCCCAGAAGCCAGGGAGCAGGTCAATGGAATCTAAAGAGGAGATTGGGAAGGAGCACCACAGTACTTACTACCCCAAAAGCTAGTGAGTCAGTTCCTACTATTATGGATCAGAATTTGTTCCAGAACCAGCCAGCAGGTCCAGTGTCCTCAGTGCTTACAGATGAGATTAGCCGGGTAAAGTAGGGACTGACAGCTTGCATCTATTCAACAATTAAAAAAAAAATGTTATTGAGAAAGTCATTTTAGTTCATTTTATTAAGTTATAGTTTTATAGACATGAATTTTGTATTCTTCCTTTTGTTCCTGAAGTTTGGAATGAATGAGAAATGAAAAGAAGGAAGGTCACTGGCTTATCAAGCACTCAGATATCAGGCCCTACACCTGGCAACTCTGCCCTTTTGTAGATGAAACTAAAGGTGGAGATGTGTTCCAGGCCCGCAGTGGGAATTACCTCCCTGTTGTCACCGTTCAGTGATGAATCAGCCCTGATTGCAAAATAAAATGGAAAGTAACTATGGGTAAAATGACACACACTTTAAATCAAGCTAGTTCATGCTGATTAACGTGGTTTCACTCAGAAACAAATAAATTAGTAGTCATCTCTGGTCGATACTGAGTTCTCAGAAGAAGGGAGGTCTGAAAGATATTATGGCCACTCTGGAAATTATTGTTTAAATCCCTGAAATTGAAAAAAAATTCTCTCTTAACCCTGCAATTCTACCCTGACCACCCACAGCTGAGGACCATGTGAAATCTGTGTGCATGAGGTGCTACGCTACGCAGCTGAGGAGTGAGCCCTCCCAACCCACTTCTGAAATACCTGGCCTGCTGTCCTTCAGTATCCAGGCTGGAAGTCTGCTTTCTTTTCCTGATGTGAGTGGCCGCATAAAGAGCACGGGCAACATGGTGAATGAAGCATCCACTTCTGGGGCAACATTTAAGGGGTCACTAGAAAACTCAGTAGCAAGACAAACATTTGTAAAAGTCAAAAGTAAGGCCAGAAAAGTATGATGAACAAAATATCTAAATTTTAAATAAAGAAAGGATCAATTTATTGATTTTTAACTTTCACCTTAAGTCCCTTTATAGATCACCACTGCACTGCTAAAGGGGAAGAGTGTAATTCCAAGGGATTATATTAAATAGACTTTCTGCCTGAAGTTTATGGTCTCTAGAGTGGTGGTTCTATATCTTTAGTGTACATCAGAGCCACCCAGAGAGTTTGTTAACACAAAGATTGCTCAACCTGAAACCCAGAATATCTGGTTTGTTGAATCTGAGGCGGGGCCTAAGAATCTGCATTTCTGACAAGTTCCTGGTAATGAGGCTATTGCTGATGCAGGGATGTGGTCTGAATGTTGGTGTTTCCCCAAATTCATAAGTTGAAATGTAACCCCAAATGCAATAATATTAAGATGTGGGGCCTTTAGGAGGTGATTAAGCCACAAGTGCAGAGCCCTCAGGAATGGGATTAGTGCTCTTATGAAAGAGTCTGAAGGGAGCTGCCTTGTGTCTCCTGCCATGGAAGAACATGGTAAGACTTGCCATCTGTGAAGCAGAGAACAAGCCGTCACCAAACATAGAATGCTGGTGCCTTGATCTTGGACTTCCCAGCCTCCAGAATTGTGAGAAGTAAATTTCTATTAGTTATAAATTACCCAGTCTAAGGTATCTTGTTATAGCAGCCCAAATGGACTATGCAGGGATCACAATTTAAGAACCATTTTGGAGACAGCTGGGCAAATAATAAGCCAATAATGCTCATTGCAGGAACTCAATTATTTAAAAAAAGTTTTTGAAGAGCTGAGTGAGTGAATGAAATATCATGCCAAGATCAAGTAGCAAGTGTATTTATTCTGAGTGGAGTATTGAAAATGAATTTCTGGCCAGGTGTGGTAGCTCACATCTGTAATCCTAGCACTCTGGGAGGCCAAGGCAGGAGGATTGCTTAACGTCAGCAGTTCAAGACTACCCTGAGCAAGAGCAAGACCCTGTTTCTACTAAAAATAGAAAACTTAGCCAGATGTGGTGGTACGTGCCTATAGTCCTAGCTATTCAAGAGGTTGAGGCAGAAGGATTGCTTGAGCCCAGGAGTTTGAGGTTGCTGTGAGTTAGGCTGACGCCACAGCACTCTAGCCCAGGTGACAGTGCAAGATTCTGTGTCAAAAAAAAGAAAATGAATTTCTAATCCTTTGTCTTCTTAAGGAGCACTTCATTATTCACACTGGATGGGTCCATCTGTCCACTGCCCAGTACAAGGGACAAATTTTAGAAAGATTTGGGGGATCAGTGTGGGTAGATGGAGCTCTGATGGCCACCCATGTTCTAGGGCAAGACACAACTATGGCAGAGGTTGAATTGCAGTTTGGCTCTGGGGGCCTCTATTTTTTGGCACTGCCCTGCACCCATCTGCTATCTGTCATGACATCCTTAACCCAGATGCTACACAGTCCCTTCCTGCAGTGACACCACTCAGACCTGGCCTTCCAGGTTCCACTCAGAGAAGGTGTGGGGGTGCAGGTAGAATAGCAGGCATGAGGAGACAATTCACTTTAGGTCAAGCAGAAGGACATTTCAAAAGCTAACTACTAAATTTCCGGACTCTATTTAGGTGTCATTGCTACCAACTGAAAACCCACTCTTTAGACTTTATTGACAGCCATTTCCAAATTGCATCAGGCAGGGGACTCAGCAAGTGGTTATTTACAGTGATATACACTTTAAGTAATGGTCTTCTTTTGATTTAGCCTGACAGTTTATGATTTTTTAAGACATGGTTTTGACACAATCTAAAAATCTAAAGAATTGATTCAGTTAAGTTGAAAGGCCAAACCAGAATTTGGAAATGTGAGAAAATATTTGCATTAATTGCTATTCTAAAATTTTTGTTCTTCCTACTTATATGAATACCTGCAAATTAACTAGGCTGTGGGTTTATGTATTTACCTTTCCTATTACAATACTGCTGGGGATGGATATAATTCTGTAATAGTCATCCTGGAAAAGAGGCCAGAAACAGCATGAAATAAATTCAAAAGAAGCCAGCAATAACAGAGAAAAATACTCAGTTCTTTCCTCCTTATCTCTTCTTCCACCCCATCCCAATTGGAGGAAGAAAACAAAATCCTGAATCCTACATTGTTCTTTGAACCCAGAGAGTCTCAGAAGAAAAGAACAAGGAGCTGTAAGAGATGGTAAAAATAAAAATGTAGCAAAGAGTTATTAAATTTGTTCAAGAACAGGCTGAGAGTATTAGTGAGGATGCTAATTTGACACAAATGCAGAGGCTCAGCCAGGGATTGGAACCAAAAAGTGGAAAGTGATTAGAAATTCAAGGAGTTCTTTTTTCTCCATTTTGCATCTCTGTTCGTTGTGTATTTCCTTCCTATTTCTCTTTTTTGCTGACTGGTTCATGCAGAAGATGGTCAATATACCACCACTTAAAAAGTTATCAACTGCATTCAAGAAAACAGCTCAGACTGAGAGTACAGTAGCTTCATTCTGATTCTTTTTTATAGAGGAGGGCTCTCTGATTGCCCCAGCTTGCTGCGGGTATTCACTCAATAGCAGTCACATGGGAGCCATGTTGTGTTCACATAACTGCTTGGGGTTCTGCCTGGGTTGGGTAATTTCTAGACAAAACAGGCAATTCTTAGCTTTTGGGCTGGGAAGATACCCCAAAGTTATCTTCTACACTGGATGAACATTTGGCAGGAATGGTTGTAGAAATCAAGCATCAGATGTGGTTTTCCACTAAACACGACTTCCAGGTCTCTAATGCCACCATTCTAAGAACATGATTGACAAGAATAGATGAAAGGAATGCAAAAGGAGCAGCAGCACTTGGATTGTGCCACCTTAATGACATTTTGAAGATTAATTAGATATTTTAGTAAGACTTTGAAGATGAAAAGGGCTGGAAACAGCATTCAGTCTTTACTTCCAAGTCCTAGGAAAGTAGGTTGGGAGATGAATTAGCCTCAGAGCTGTAATTTTGTAATGACATTCACTGAAAAATCGCCTACACTGTGTTTTACAACAGCGGTCCCCAACCATTTTAGCACCAGGGACTCAGTTTCATGGAAGACAATTTTTCCACAGGTTGGGGGTAGGGGGTGGGGAGGATGGTTTTGGGATGATTCAAGCACATTATATTCATTGTGCAGTCAGATCTCTCTGCTAATGATAATCTGTATTTGCAGCTGTTCCCCACAGCTGAGGTAGCATCACCACCTCAGCTCTACCTCCTGCCTCAGCTTCCCGAGTAGCTGGGATGACAGGCACTTGCCACCATGCTCAGCTAATTTTTTCTATTTTCAGTAGAGATGGAGGTCTCACTCTTGCTCAGGCTGATCTCAAACTCCTGAGCTCAAGCAATCCTCCTGCCTCGGCGTCCCAGAGTGCTAGGATTACAGGCATGAGCCACTGCTCCTGGCCTCAATAGGCAATCAATCCTTCACAAGTGGGGGGTTGGACCTGGAATAATCCCTGTGTATTATTTTGTCCCCCTTCCTCATTTTACAGATGAGAGACTCAAAGCCTAGAGCTGGTAATGGCATAACTGGTGCTATTATTTGGATCTCCTAATTCCCAAGGCAGTCACAAAATGAGAATTTTTTTGTAAAAGCACAAAAAAATTCGCTACATCTTGCAGTTTGTGATTTGGGACATTCTGGGAAGCCCTTTCTCAGCAACTTGGAAATATTTTTCACACCGGCCTATTATTCATGCTGGGACCCACACTGCTTCTAATTCTTAACTTTCTGTTAAGCACTGCTTAATACTGTTGATCCTCCTTTGAGATGAAAAGTTTTTCAAGGACAGATAATAGATTAATTTACCAGTCTGTTATTGTGATTATTAGAATAACAACAACAATAGCAACAAAACCAGATTTTACCTCTACTATTTGCCAGATCTGGGACTTTTTACAAATTATTTCCATCTGGAATTGTCAACTTTATCATTTATCATTTATAAAATTGGGGAGATAGCAGTATTAATCTCATAGGATAGTGTTAAATAAAATAATGCATGTAAAGTCTAACCTAGCCCTATAACAAGTACTGAGTAAATAACAAATAAATGGTAAGCACTGAGTAGCAGGTATAATTGTCACCACCATCATCATCACCATCATCCTCATTTCTGACCATTGAATTTATTGGTATTTCTTCTCAGTGCAGGGATGAACTTACAGTAACAGGAGAAGGAAAGTAGGTACCTAAAGGGAGATTTAGAACACCAAAGGAAAAAAATGTCATACTTCCTAGTTTGGTAGATGATCAGTCTGGTTTATGTTAACCAAACCAAAACTCTTACAAGCACCCATAGATTAGAAATTAAAACCAAAAAAAAAAAAAAGTCTTCCTTGCATTAAAGAAATCCTCAATAATAGTTATGTTTACATCAAAGTTACCATCCATCACTTTTTAAACATTTGATTTTTAAAACACCTTTCAAAGCAAAACAATACATAACCTATATTTTCATACAACCTGTGGAAGCAAAAGTGGTTATACATTCCTTTAATTTTGTTTTTCACAAGCAAATAAAGCGTTTTAGACCCTGTATCCCAGTTTGCACTTAGAAGGTTATGACGACCTCTTGGTTTCACTTTTAGCCATGGATCTGAGAACCCGCTAAATGGCCTTGAACCTGCCACCACTGATTTCATTTGTGAGGCTGGTCCAACATCAGTTTCTCACCTTGCCATGGAATTCAGCTGACCAAATCTGGTACTCTTGAAAACCAGGGAAAGAGAAGTTAAAGCTAATACATTTTATTAATTTGATATTTGTTGAGAACAAAAAAGTTGTTTGAAACATCTACATTTTTATGCAGAGTGACAAGTCACGTAAGGACTTTGAGGCTCTTGGAGATTATAAAATTGAGGTGACATCCTTCCTTACAGAATCAATGTAAACTATTAATGAAATAGGACCTGAAGGTACCT